GTGGAAGTTGAGAGAGAGAGGAAGAGAGAATGAAGTAAGCATTATTAGTTTTGTTCGTTTGTTCAACAAATGGGTCCTGAGTGCCTATCCCGTGTTCATTAGTGTGAACGGCCTGCGAGGAGCTGGGTGACAGTTCTCATCTGTCGTCCATGCTCCGTGTCTCGTGCAGTCCATCTGCTGAGGAATGAATGAATGAATGAGTGAATGAATGAATGAATGAGACGGTCTCCCACAAGGGCCCCTACATTGCCTCTGACCTCCCCACACTCACACACACAGAGCGGGGAGGCCAGCCCGGGGCCCACCAGCCCCTGTCCTTCCCCCAAAGTCACCCCATGTCACGTCCTGGTTCTGCCCAGCTTCACGCTCCCGCCGCCTCTGCCCCTCTGGGCTCTTGTACCCTCCGAGCCCCGTGCCACTGCCGCCCTCAGGCCGAGCCTGTCCGCACCAGCCGGTGCCTGTCAGGGGCCGCCGGGCCACGGGGATGGGCGGCATGCCCCCCGTGATTCCAGTGGCCGCGGGCTGTGGGCTTGCCTCAGTTTATTTCTTTCCTTAGCTCCAGTGACATGTGTCTCAGGCCTTGTTTGATTTGTGTCCTCTGTCTCTTTCCTTCCCGCCCCCCTATTCCAGCTGCAGAGAGCCAAATCCCCCATCAGCCTGAAGCGAGCATCAGATTTTCAAGGTTAGTGAGCCACCCGGATCCCTCCCCAGTCTCTCTCTCTGACGTTCGGTCCATCTGTTTCTCCCGTTGCAGTATCAGTCCTGTGAGGTTAAGCCAGGATGGGTCTCGGGGGCCCTGGGGTCCCAGTGCGGCGGGCCATCCAGATGGTCATTGACATTCGCTGTCACGGGAGAGGGCAGGGCCCCCGACCACGGAAATGTCATGTTTATGGTCCCCTCCCCGTGGGTCTGTCCAGAGCCGCCTGATGCTTCAGCTGAACTTGCATTTCTGCTCCTGGCCTGTTGGCCGGAGGACCACTTGGTCTCCCTCCCAGCCTTACGGCTAGACCGCCCCCGGTGTGTTGAGGCTGCTGGTTCAGCCGTGAGCCCCTGGTTCTCCAAGAGACGCTGTCTTCTGAAGTCCTCTCGCTCCTCCTCAGCGCGACTCTGGAGTGACAATTAGCTAGCAAGGGTTGCCCAGGTGACCGAGCACCTGCTGGCTTCCAGGTGCTGGCAGGTCCACATAGACACTCCCACAGCCCACGCGCTCGGGCAGGGCCACTGGTGAGGAGGTAGAAAGTGGCTCTGGAACCCAAGAGAGAAGTCGGGAGCAGTCGGGAGCAGTCGCAGGAAGATTGGAGAAGGATCTGCCAAGAGGGGGACGTGTAGACTGTGCCTGGAAAAGGGAGAATTGAGGCCACTGGGCCGGGCCGCTGGAAGGGCCCGCCAGGATGGAGCAGGAAGCAGAGGCGGGGACGAGGAGCCTGCAGAGCGCACAGTGCAGAGAAGTGTGGTGCCTTCTGGGGCTTGGAGCCCGACAGCACTGGAAACAAGCCTGTGGAGGGGATGGCCAGGCCCAAGTTCGTGGACTTCACCCCTCCAAGGGGCTGTGAGGAGACAGGGGGACCAGGGTTCCAGTTTGGGCTTGACCTGGTGGGAGCAGAGGAGGGGCACCGGGGAAAGGGCGCCCTGAGCTGGGGACTTGGCCACTTCCTTAGTGACCAGATCAGGTGGTGTGAAGGTCCTGGGGCCTATAGAAATAGAGAGGGCATTTGTGCCCAGAAGGGAGGAAGGGGTGCAGTAGGGCCGGAGCCTTACTGGCTGCCTGACATGGGTGCTGGGCCAGGGAGGGAATGTGGTTCCCCCGCTCTGGGGAGGCACAGCCTGGGGCGCTTGTGTGGGCGTAACACATGTGCACGTGCTGCAAGGCGTAGGGCCTGGGAAAGCTGACCGCTCTCCTGCAGCAGGAAGAGGGCCAAGAGAGTGTGTAGGGGCCCCTCGGGCAGCGCCGCAGGAGTGGGAGGGGCACCACACCCTGTTCCCACGGCCGACCCCAGTCAGCCTGTTTATGGGGCTGGTGGGGTCCCATCCGATATTGGGGTAGCTGGGCAGGGACGTCCCTGCCCCACAAGAGACACCTCCTCCCAGTCTCCCTGTTCCATAGAGGGCCGACTGGGGACGCCCGCCTCAGTCCTCCAGACACAGGGCATCGTGCAGCCCTGACGGAGCCCCATGGGCCTGGCTGGGGGCGGGACGTGTTTGGGGAAAGACCAGGCTGCCCTCCAGGAGCCTACAGCTGGGTGGGCAGGTGAGAGGAGAAGGTTTCGAGAGCTCTTCCTCCAAGGAGACAGGAGAGGAGGCTGCCTCCCACCCTCCCTAGGAGGACGTGACCCCCAGACAGGACGTCCCCACAGACATAGTGCTCCGGGGGCTCCCAGTGACCTTTCCCTCCCCTCTCTACCCCCTCTCTTTTCTCCCTCAACCCCGCCTCCCCCCTGTACCTCCTGCCCGTCTCACTGAGGACAGGGAGGGGACATGAAGAGGACGGCATGGACGTCAGCCCCAGTTCCTCCAGGTCCCTGCCTGTCACCAACTCCTTCTCCAAGATGGTGAGTGGGGTCCACTCCCTGGCTTCGTGTCCCCCCGCCACAGGCCTGGCCCCTTTGCTTTCCTCTCCCAGGGCTGCAGCCCAGGCCCTCCTTATGTCTATTTAAAGATGTTTCCAGGGCCTCACGATGTATTTACACCTTCTTGCCATCTCCTTTCCCAATTTAACACTTGGTGGGAGGAAGAGATGGGCCCTGGTGGGGCTGCCATGAATGGCACAGACGGCTGAAATGCCTGCCACAGCTCCCCAGCCCCGGGCAACTCCAGCAGCCGGAGACGCTGGTGGCTGGCAGGGCCTGAGCAGCTGGAGACACACACACATGCACACACCAGAGCAAGGCCTGCCTCAGTCAGGCCCACCTGGGCAGAGCCAGGCAAGGTCCCCACGACCCCTCCAGGGAGGCAGCAGAAGGTGTGGGATTAGAAATTCTAACCCTGAGGGGAAGCCCTGGGAAGCCTGTCAGCTCAGCTCAGAAAATCAGGCCCTGGGGGAGGCAGAGATTTGATAAGGAATGACTCCCGACTGAGTGCGGCTCTGGGAGGTAACATCCAAGGTTCTTATTTAAGGCAGCCCTTGCCAGGAGCCAGCGGGCCTGGTTTCAAAGGGTGGCCCTCCAGCAGCTGAGCTCTCTGCGTGGGCATCCGTTGCCCCCACCCCCACCCCCACCAGCCTGCAGGTGCCCGAGGCCGGGCGGCCCTGGGGACAGGGAGCTCAGCCTGTTCTGGGCACAGACAAGGCACCACCTCGAGGGTTTCCATCCGCCTTTCCCTGCCCACTCCCAAGGCGAGCAGATGTTCGAGCAGATGTGCACCAGGCTCGTCGGCTGCGGCCGCCCCAGGCTGAGCGCGAGCCTTCTCTGGCCAAGGTCACCGCTCGGGACCAGAGGGCCGGCCCGCACTGCCTATGTAGGAGGCAGGGACACATCTACATTTAGCCCCAGCGTGTGTAACACTGATGCCCACGGAGGCGCAGCGCGTAGACACCTGGCCCCCGTAACACACCATGTGTGTCTAAAGCAGCCGCACAGGAGCCGTTCCAGTATCATGTCAATCACCGCCGAGCCCCCAGGAAACGACTCCATCGTCAGACGCTATAAGGAAGATGCGCCGCATCGGAGGTGGGTGACAGGTGGAGGGAGGAGGCAGGACACCTTCCCGGTGCCTGCTGTGCCACTCGACACTAACTGAGCCATCCTCAGGGACCTGGAAACACTGGGGGCAAGATGGTGTCCGTTGTAGAGTTGGGGAGGCTGGGGCTCAGAGAAGGGATGTGACTTTCCCAGGGTCACCTGCCAGCTAGCCAGCGATGAAACCTGCGTCACTCTGCCCCATGCCACCCGGAAAGCAGGTTTCTCCATCCCGTGGTTCCAGGTTTGGCTTTTTCTGCCAAAGAGAGACCCTTTGAATGTCCCCCCGTGTTCCTACTCCCTCCTGCCTTTTGGAAGCCATCTGTGTCCCCAACGAGGACACACTAGAGATACAGCTGGGCAGCCAGGTGCTCCCAGTCAGCTGGGTGCTGAGCATGCCGCGTTCAAAGTCAGAGCTTGCTGGTGACTCTGGAAGGGCCGAGCACGAGGAGTGGCCGGTGGGGCCAGATCGACATCTCTGGCCCTGCCAGCAGCCTGGTCCGGGCCTCGTCACTCCACCGCAGGAACCACACGGAAACAGCGTAAAGCTCGGGGGACACGCTCACGCCTCACTCCCTCCCAGCCCTGTGTGAGGCGGGCCCAGCTGTTTCAGGGCCGTCGCATGATGCAGCCCGTCTGAGCACAAATGATACTGTGTTCTTTGTGTCAAGGAAGAGGAGTGAGTGGGAGATAGCAGGCAGGCTGGCAGGGACTCCTCACACCGGCCAGTGTGGCCTCTGCGGGCTGCCGGAGCATCCAGCCTCGGGCAGCCCTTCCTTGGCCCACAGCCCTCCACCCACCTTCCTCACCCACCTGTCCCACCCTCTCGGAACCAAAGCTTCTCAGGCAGCCAGAACATTCCAGAAGCTTCCTGCACACAGTTAGGAGAACTCCTTGTCCCCTTGTATCTTGCAGCACAGTTGAAGAAGACAACGACAGCGGTGGGTTCGACGCCTTAGACCTTGACGGTAGGTGCCCAGCGGACCTGAGAGGCATTGCCAGTGTGGCAGCCACATCGCCCACGTCCCGAGCCTCCAGCGGGGCCCGCCGGGGGCGAAGCCTTGCACACAGCAGGGCCCTCGGACACATGTGTGCGATGGACTCCGGGAGAGCCGTCTGTGCACATGGGGTCAGGCCTCCGTCCTGGGCCGGGGAGCACCCGGGGAGTCTGTCCTTTGTTTCACAGGGGTGGGGCCCACCCTGATGCTGAACACAGAGTCCAAGTTAGGTCTGAGTTTTTAAGAAAGAGTAGCTCTTGTGATTGTCGCCGAGCAGCGTGGCAGTGCTCACCCTGGGTCCCTCAGGTTCACGGACTCTTGACAACTGTTTGCAGAAACCTCTTACTGTCCTCACTGTCAGACGAAGAAACAGGCTCTTAGGGAGGTGGGGGCAGTGTGGTGGAGGTGGCCTCGGAGCAGGGAGCCCTCTTAAGAATCCGGATGTTAATTAAGGTATTAACCAACCTCAACAAGACAAGTGGTGGGAAGGGGCGGGGACCCAGGCATGGAGATGGGGCGAGCAAGGCTGGTGTTCATCCCCCAGAATTGGAGGTGTGGGGCAGGCAAGCACTGGGGAGGCTGGGGGTGCGTGGTAGCCCCAAGCCAGCCCCAAGGGCAGAGCTGGTATGAGGAAGGAGGACAGTCCCTTGTCCCAGAACATGCCACGCAGGGCAGGGAACCAGGGCTCTGTGTGCAGGGAGTACGCACACAGCCACCACCCCTTACAGCTGGGAGGTCTGGTTCAGCCCAGCACACAGTGAGCCCCAGCGCCTCGCCAGGCCTTCCAGGTGCATGGGACACAGAGACTCGTGCCCCCAAGCCCTCGCTGCAGACTGTGGTGGTGGAGCTGTGAGCCAGTGGAGGAGGCCAGCGCAGGTTTGCAAAGCTGAGCTTCTGACCGGGGCAGGAGCAGGGCGTGTTCAGGCCTCTCCAGAGTTGTCCTGGCGCCTTGGGATGTTGCAGCGTCCCCCGGCCTCTCCGGAGCTGGCAACGTGGAGACTGGCTCAGAATCCTCCAGGCGTGGCCTGCCAGCCCCCTTGGCTCCCCACACCTGGCCTCCGCCCCTCGCCAGCTCAAGGCTGCCAGCAGATAAAACGGGAGATGAGCGGCTCTCCTTAATTGGGGACCATCAGAAGCTATCAAGTGTTAAAGAGAGGTCGGCACCTCATAGATGCTGGGCCGTGGGAGGAACTAAAGGAGTGTGGGGAGGGAGGGCTGGGAAGAGCATTCTGGGCAGCGGTCCAAAGTGTTTTGCAGTGTGGGGACAAATCCCCTTTGCAGAGAAGCCTTTGTTATCAGCCCGGAGCAGGGCTTGCCGATCTGCCATCCCAGCAGCCTGCGCTGTGTGGGCCGGGCGTCTCTCCCCCGGGGTCCTCAGGGTTTCACTGCGTTGGAAGGAGAGGGGCTTCTGCACTCGGTCCAGACCCCGTTCTTCTAGCCACACTCCCATCCCAAAGAAGCCGGTAGGTGGTCGTGAGACCTAAGGTTCCGAGATGAAAACACGGACACCAGTTTAAAAGCAGAATGAGCGCCTGCTGGTGGAGACCCCTTTTCCAGATACAAAAAGAAAGAAAAAGTCTTAAAAAACAGATGGTTGGCGAGGCATTCTACCGAGAGGGGACTCTTGTTTGGAGGCAGGAGAATGGCTCTGTTGGAGAGGATGCAAGGACTGAAGCCCCTGCCCCCAGGGTCTCAGGGACCAGGGACTGGCTAACCGAGCCTGCCCTTCCCCAGGCTCCCTCGTCTGGGGGAGTGGGCAGCATTTCCCGGGAGGCAGGCAGGGAGGAGCAGGGGCTGGTGGGCCCAGGCTGACCTCCCTCGGACGTCCCCGCAAGTCCGTGGGCTGCCCTCCCTGCTCCGCCAGCCACCCCCTGTTCCTGATGGGCCCATCACCCTCTTGCAGATGACAGTCACGAGCGGTGCTCCTTCGGACCCCCCTCCGTCCACTCCTCCTCCTCCTCTCACCAGTCCGAGAGCCTGGACGCCTATGACCTGGAGCAGGTCAACCTCATGTTTAGAAAGTTCTCTCTGGAAAGGTACCAGGGTCGTGGCAAAGGGGAGGCTGGGGTGGGCGGCAGGGAGGGGGGATCCCCTGCGAAGGAGATCGTCCCGTCGCCCAAGAATCAGAGTCCGGTAATCACAGCCCCAGAGTCAGCAATCACTTCCCCTGAGCCCTGAGCAGGCCCAGAGAGGAAGGGGCTGGCCCCAGGCCACACAGCCTCGCAGAGGCAGGGGACCGGAGTCCGACATCTGACCAGCCCCCGGCCCCGTTGGTGTGGGCTGTGCCATGCAGCGCTCGTGGTGTGCGAGAAGGGACAGGCCTCCACTGCACCCGGCTCGAGCGGTCCGGCGAGCGTGACCTCAGGCTCACAGCAGCATTGCCCATGGCCCCTGCTTCCTGTCTGCTGTCACAGTGGGAGCCTGTTGCCAGCTCTCTCCCAGGGAAGCTGCACCCTGCGCCCCGCCCTCTGTTGTCCTGGCAGGGGTCCCGACGACGGCTGCCTAACAGCCATCTTCTCTCCCGACCCAGACCCTTCCGGCCGTCGGTCACGTCCGTGGGGCACGTGCGGGGCCCGGGGCCCTCGGTGCAGCACACCACGCTGAGTGGTGACAGCCTCATCTCCCAGCTCACCCTGCTCGGGGGCAACGCCAGCGGCACCTTCGTCCACTCTGTCAAGCCGGGCTCCCTGGCCGAGAAGGCCGGCCTCCACGAGGGCCACCAGCTGCTGCTGGTAAGGGGCTGGGGCGGGGGGTCGGCAGCACAGCCAGAGCGCCCGGGGCTTCCCCTCCATCCCCCCTGCAAGTTGGCTGCTGACAGCGCGTGGACCCCCACCACAGGCCTCGCAGTAAGCTGCGGATCCTGGGCAGGAGGCGGGAGCCGCGAGGGGCAGGTGGTCAGCTGCGCCTCTCCAGTTCCTTCTCTGAGACTCCTTGTTCGTGTTTCTAGAGCCTGTGCATCCACACATGCGCAGCACACGCGTACACCCCCAGCACACACACACACATGCCCTGCACACGCGTGCTCCAGGTGGCGGACAGGAGGCATGTGGACCCCGCCTGGAGGGGTGCTCTCATCCCGCGGGGTGCTGCGCTGGTCCTCACTGGGGGCAGGCGCTTTTACTCCCGGGGGGCTGTCTCACCCCGCAGCTCTGCTGGCTGCAGAGCCCAGCAGAACAGCGTGTCTCTGGTATCTAGCTAGAAGGCTGCATCAAAGGCGAGAGGCAGAGCATCCCCTTGGATACATGCACGAAGGAGGAGGCGCACTGGACCATCCAGAGATGCAGTGGCCCCATCACCCTGCACTACAAGGTCAACCAGGAAGGTGAGGCCGGCAGGACACCAGACGGGGTGGGACCTTGCATTGGTGCCCTCCACTGCACACCTACTTGGGGAGAAGCGGCAGTCTTGGCCCCGCCAGGAGGGCTGGGGGGCAGGTGTGGGACAGCAGGCAGGGACAGGCAGACGGCGTGAACACACCTGCCCCGCGCACCCCGCAAGCAGGCTACCAGCCCGGGGCCGCGTCCCCGCCGGGCTGAGGTTGGCTTCCTCTCTTGGGCAGCTCCGAGGTGGCCCCTCCAATGCCAGCGGGTCCACTGGGCCACAACGCAGCCAGGTGGTTGGCTCCGGGGCCCCGGCACCAGGACAGCCAGGCCGCACCTCCTTCTCTTCTGGCCTCTGGCAGCTTTTTCACGGAGCCTCCTCTTTCTCGGCCGAGACTCCTGGGCAGTGTCTTTCCTCTTCCAAAGCCTGAGCTCTCTTTCTCACCTCTGGGTTTTTTCCTGCACGATTATGTCTGCAGCTGGGTCTTATTTTTAACCACCTGGGCTCATGAATGTTTCAGCAGAGCATAAATAGCCACTCTCTCCCTCGCCGTCCCCCTGCTGCCGTCTGCTTGCCCGCGCTCCTTCCCGGCAGCGCCTGGTCGGTGCGGAAGATAATCAGGAGGCC